CTCATGAATGCGTAACAAATATATAAATGATAAGGTGGCAAATTAGCTTCCATGGAAACCCATGTACTGACAAGGATGGCCACGCGAAGGCTTTGCCGTCACCCTCTCCCCTACGGTGCACTAAGCCGGATAACGGGGGCTGCCATTGTAAACAACAGCATCTTCTATAGGTGCTGCTCGAGCCAACATGTTCGGTCTGATAAAAGGATAGCATCCCACGCCCACAGAGGCCGACCCATAAGAGCAAAAAGCAATACATGATCCCATATCTACCACAAGGACACTGATGAACAGTCTAACTTCCAACGGCTAAGGCTGCAATTCTCAAATGCAATTGATAGGGCCATGATAGGGCTGACCACACTGTCGCATGTAAATCATAGCTGCCAACGATGCGTTACTCAAAAGAGCAAGGCACCATCCCGTTCTACCCATAGCAAATAAACATCCGCCATATCAGTAGTTGCTGTCCTCAAGCGACCTTCTTGGGTAGGCGTCATCAGAGACACATCATGCACTGCAACAAATAAATCCGGTCTTGATGAAAAGCATACGCGAGAAGCCAAGAGAACATCCAAGGTATCCATACAAGTACTTGAGATGTGAGATCCGCAATGGCACCGATAAAACATTGCTCTGAAGATCTATCGATAAAGAGACGACTTGCAGGTAGCTGATTTCCAAAACCATGGAAACGGTATCCTTGACAACCACAACTATAAGATAGAGATCGCTTGCTTGCTTCTGAGACACCCACCCAAATTCAAATGTTGATCTTCGTCTTCCAATTCAATAGGATTCGCCATTGACAGCTGTAAGGAGAGACTTTGATGGCACCAAAGAGCACGCGAAATTATAGCTTGATGGAACGATGGGCCTATAAAACTGCATATCACTAATTTATCTTTGAGGTAATGGTAGCAATACTTAGCCGGTGTCATATGAGGATCCACGATGTTTGATGCCACCCAGTAATCAGAACACATTTCCTTGCTGTAGAGATGTCGACCCAGTGACCAATTCTGATAGCCGTTTCGCCAAGCGATACTTGATGATGAATGCCATGAGAGATGGATACACCTTGACAGCACCAAAAGGACACGTAACATTGTTGTCTGTTGCTGATGTGATACACCCATAAGATACGTGCGGTGAAGAGGGCTCTTGAAATCAATTTGCCAATAACGAGAACCACCAGAGGATCAATAAATGTTGCTGACACTAAAGATGTGGGCTCTGTTGCTCGTTGCTGCTTCTTGCTTGTAGCTGATATGATCCACCAATAACAGGCATGCGTAGCAGGATATCCATTGAAAGGGTTGTCAACAACTAGGACCACAATAAGACGAGATGGTATAGAACTTGTTGCCTTGCCGCTGCAGATGCTATAAAAGGAAGTGTCCAATAGGTGGTACAGTAACGAAAACCGTCGAACGATGTAATAAGGCAAGCTGACACTGAAGGATGCTGTAGACGTTGCTCTTTGACCCTGACATGATTCGTCTAAAAACGATGCACAGTAAACACTTTCCCGAACACATAGAACGATACTTAGCAATGATACCTGCATCCATGAATATTCCAAAGGACCAAAATACAAGTAGTTTGCTGAATAGCACACATACTATAATAAAAGAGGGGTTTGGTTGGGATTGGAGCCAAAAAAACGCGTCATACACTATTTACCAATGATAGCCATATGAATAAAACCTTGTCGACATCCAATGATAGCTGCATCCATCAAGAATCCAAAGGGAACAGACAAGTAGCTCGCTGAATGACTCACATAAAAGAGGGTGTTAGTAGGCATTGAAAAAAGAATGGACAATGATTTACCAATGACAGCTTCATGCATGAAAATTCCAAAGGACCAGAAGACAAGTAGCTTGATGAATAGCCCACATGCTAAGATAAAAGCGGAGGTTGGCAGGCGTTGTAGAACGAATGGATCAGCAATTACCAATGATATCCATATGCACGAAAACACGTTGACATCCAATGACAGCTGCACCCATAGAAATCCCAATACTCCAGAAGAAAAGTAGCTTGCTGAATAGCCCGCATACTATAATAAAAAGGGAGGTTGGTTGGGGTTGTAGCAAAAGACGGATCATCATTTACCAATGATTGCCATACGCACGAAAACATGTCGACATCCAATGACAGCTGCATTCATGATAAGCCAAAGAACCAGAAGACAAGTGGCTTGCTGAATAGACCACATACTATAATAAAAGAGGAGGTTAGCAGGCGTTGAAGAAGAGAAGGGATCACTATTTACCAATGATAGCCATACGCACGAAAACATGTCGACATCAATGACAGCTTCATCCATGAAAATCCCGAAGAACCAGAAGACAAGTAGATTACTGAATAGTCCGCACACTATAATAAAAGAGGATGTTGGTTGGGATTGGAGCCAAAAAACGGATCATCCTCTATTTACCAATGATAGCCATATGCACGAAATCCTGCTGATATCCAAATCAAGCCGATTCTTTGCAATCGTCCGCTTGTTGATAAGGCCCGCTACGGTGGCACTCGGCTCGAAAGCGATGGAACGATACTTTATGGGCATATGCAGTGAGAAGATTGAGTAATATTGATACCACCAAAGAGAGCATACTTACATGATGCCGAAGAGCCCTTACAAAGAGAGACAACATGACAATCCTTGCTGCCCAAGACCACATGCAAATCGAGAAAGCATTGTGCATCGAAGAGCCCAAACCAGATCCTAGCTGCGGAGTGACGTACATATGGCTAAAGAGCGATGTGAATGGCAATCGTTTTTCATTGGAAATCGAATGCAGCTTGACGATGAATGCCTTGAGGAGATGCATAAATGACCTTGGTAACGCCAAAGATGTTAACGCGGACTCTCATTGCTTGTTGATGACATTATCCATCCATAAGACGCGTATAATTGTAGAGATCCACCAAAGGAATTGCCGATAATCAGAACCACGAGATGATCGAAAGCTTGCTGACGCCAAAGGTATAAACCTGCTCCTTGTTGCTGACATGATCGATCGATAAGGGACCTTTGTTTCAGCAGGTTCACCAAATTGCAGGTAATGGGAAGCACCAGATGGATGATGGGATGAGGGTTGATATGGCACCAAAGATATGCATGCTGTTGTTTGTTGCTGATACAGTCCACTCACAAGAGACTTGCATTGGCGGACACTCTTCAGAGAAATCGCCCGTTGCTTGGTAACCAACCACCCGAGACGCAATAAAGGTTGACACCCCCAAAAGACAAACGCTTCCCCATGGTTGACATGATTCACCTATAAAAGATGCACCATAAACAATTGTCCCAACTCATCCAACAATACTTAGCAATTCATAGCTGTGATCTTGTAAACGTCAAAGAACCAAAAGACAAGCAGCTCTCTGCAATGGTCCCTCTAAATAATGGTAGGCGTTTCAGCAAAGGTCTCCAAAAAGCATGAGAGTCATACATACCTGAATCACGAAATCATCACCCGCAGACTCGGGAACCAAATAGGCCATCAGGATGCAAAGTAATAATCAAAGCGCACAGCCAAAGAAACGTCATAGTACTAGTACTCTCCTGTGGATCGACGCGATGAAGTGCATCAATAGAGATACCATCTTCTCTCTAAAGGCAAGGAGATCAATAGCCGTAAAACGATGGAGCCGTGCGAACAGAGGATGCATTTTTAAATCCCTAAGGCCGCAACATGAGTCGCACTGTCCCCGGGCACAACATGTAGAGCTCCACAGGAAAGTATAGTACAATGACGTCCTTGACGTGCAGCCTTGATAATAATAGCATCGCCGAAAGAGGATCTGCCACTGTATGGAGTTTGGTAAGTTCACTTGAATCCAACCAATCCCACAATGATGCACTGTACCTTGAGGTATTCCCAATACCATTCCATCGATGCTTGCAAATAACCTTGTATCCATCCGATCCAGTATGTGCTGCTTCTGTTTTCATTGTAAGGCTCGTTAATTAACAAGTCTTGATTTGTACATCCAATGCCATGCATACCATTGAGCCAATCATACAGCATTCTTGCTTTGAGGTCCGTATCTTGTTGCTGCCAGAGGTACCATCATCCAACGTATTCACGCTACAGTAAATGTAATGTAAGATAACAAGTAAAACCAACCCACACGCTTTTGTTGTCAGCATACCCAAAAGAGGCAATGTGAAGACGTCTTGAGAACTCTCATTGTGGACAACTCGGTAAGGAAGGCACACGACGCCCTGAACCATGGTGATCACAAGGAATTGCATCCAAATACACCATCCGAAGGCAATACAATAATCAACCTGCAGCGCCAAGGTATGCCACCATATGTACTATACTCTCATTGGATCCTGAAATTGGCATCATAAGAGATATCCACCTTCTCTCTGTAGGCAAGGAAATCAATAGCCGTACTTGGATGGAGGCCGTGTGCACAGCGGATGCCTTTTCAAATTGGCCTTGCCATCGCATCTTGAGTCACACTGTTTCCGGGCCAAAATTCCCCAGGAGAGCACAGTACTATACAATGACATCCTCGACGTGCTGATTGATCAAAATAGTATCGCCGAAAGAGGCTCTGCCACTGTATGGCGTTTGGTAAGTCCACTTGAATCCAACCAATCCCATCATAATGAACACTCTTACCTTGTGGTATTCTAAATAGCATCTTTGCCTCAAATAGAAACCGTATATCCATGCCATCCAGTAGGTACTGCTGCTGTTTCATTGCAAGGCTCGTTAATTAACATGTTTTGCTTTGTAGATCGAATACCACGCATACCATTGAGCCAACCATACAGCATTCTTGCTTTGAGATCCGTATCCTGTTGCTGCCAGAGGTACCATCATCCAACATGTTCACCTACCATAAACGCAATGTGAGATAACAAGTAAAACCAACCCACACGCTTTTGTTGTCAGCATACCCAAAAGAGGCAATGCAAAGACGTCTTGGGAACTCTCATTGTGGACATCTCGGTAAGGAAGGCATACGACGCCCTGAACCATGGTGATCACAAGGAATTGCAACCAAATACACCATCCGAAGGCAATACAATAATCAACCTGCAGCGCCAAGATATGCCACCATATGTACCATACTCTCGTTGGATCCTGAAATTGGCATCATAAGAGATATCCACCTTCTCTCTGTAGGCAAGGAAATCAATAGCCATACTTGGATGGAGGCCGTGTGCACAGCGGATGCCTTTTCAAATTGGCCTTGCCATCGCATCTTGAGTCACACTGTTTCCGGGCCAAAATTCCCCAGGAGAGCACAGTACTATACAATGACATCCTCGACGTGCTGATTGATCAAAATAGTATCGCCGAAAGAGGCTCTGCCACTGTATGGCGTTTGGTAAGCACACTTGAAGGGACAAATTTCATAATGGACACTTTACCTTGTGGTATTCCTCAATAGCATCATTGCCTCAAATAAAGCCGTATCTCCATGTCATCCATATTGTCTTGCTGCTGTTTCACTGTAAGTCTCGTTAATTCACAGGTTTCGCTTTGTAGATCCAATACCACGCATACCATTGAGCCAACCATACAGCATTCTTGCTTTGAGATCCGTATCCTGTTGCTGCCACAGGTACCATAATCCAACGTGTCCAAGCTACAGTAAGTGAAGTGTAAG